AAAAAAAAGTTGAGGTAGGGAGTTCTACACTGCTGGTGGGAATTTAAATTAGTACAGCTATGGAAATCAGTCTGGAGGTTTCTCAAAAAACTAAAATGGAACTAGGGTGTGACCCAGCTGTACCATTCCTTGGTATGTCAGCATATGGTAGGGACACCTGTATACCCAAGTTTATTGCAGCGCAACTCATTAAAGCCGAGCTATGGAATCAGCCTAGGTGCCCATCAACACATGAATGGATAAAGAAAAGGGATATAATAACATTGGTGGAAAAATGCATTTCTGTAGCTCACTCATTGGCCCAGCACAGACCACTTTAGACTGTACCATTGTCTAGGAAACAGTTGAGTCTATGCAATCCTTAGGCTGTTCCTTTTCAGCAAAACAAACCAACAAAACCTTTCTTTTGGCCTGTCAGCAGGCGGAAGAGCCCCCCTCAACACAAGATGGAATAGGGGTCACAAACGGAGTCACTTCCTCTCACAGTGTCAAACAGCTATCCAGAGAGTGTTGCTGTCTGCACAGCTTTGCATATACCCCGACAGCCCGGGAGGAGTAAATAATCTTCTAACACAATATTGACATTAGGATTGAAGCTGTGTTAAGTAATGCTTATGCTTTCTTATCATGGAATATTATGTTGGAATTGGTTTTCCTAGACAATGATAAGTTGCTCAGTATAACAAGATATATCACACCAGACAAAACTTCTAGCTTGTGATGCTCCACAGTACAAAGTGAACATCGCATTCTAAGCGTTTTACTTGTGGTTTAATTTTAGATTCTGACCTGCTGAGCAGGGGTTTACTTGTCTTTTTAGTTTATGCTCCCCCTAGCAAGTCAAGCACTAAGCGCATAATGGTAACTATATGTCTTCTAAGTTGTCACTCAGTTTTTAAATGTTAATGCTGTTATGAAAAGGGAAAGTTTTATACAATTCCCTAAAAGTGGCTAATGTACCTTTTTTTCTAGAGAACTTCCTAGGTGATTTTAATTCAGTCCATATGTATAGCAGCACCAGCGGAATTCAGTTCAATACTGTGTTCCAACCCAGTCAAATCAAAGATTGTTTTCTTGATCATTCACTAAGAATCCATAGAAGCAGCTGGGTATAGTGGTGCACACCTATAATCCCAGCACTCAGGAGGCTGAGGCAGGAGGATCACCACAAGTTCAAGACCAGCCTGGCCTATATATTGAGTCCAAGGCAGCCTGAACTACATAGTGAGACCCTGTCTCAAACAAAAACAACAACAAAAGAATCTGTGGAAGCTAGGAGTGGCGGCACATGACTGTAATCCCAGTCACTCAGGAAGATGAGGCAGGAAGATTGCAAGTTTGAGGCTAGCCTGAAGCACTTAGCAAGACCCTATTGTAAAATAAAAAATGAAAAGAGCTGGGGATGGTCCTGGTTCAAAAACAAACAAATAAACAAGTAAATATAGATATAGATAGCTTCAAATATCAGTAGGAAGACTCTTGGACAGCTGAATTCTAACCACTGCTCTACCATTAGGTACATCTTTGACTTAGAAAATACCCCTCTCACATCCCCAGTTCCCTGACTCCTACCTCCCAAAATGACTCTAAGTCTCTAAGCCCACTTGGAGTTGTAACATTCTGTTACTCTACAAAAAAAGGTAATAGGGCAAAACACAGGAAGCCAGGGTGCTGATTGTAGGGGAGTATGGTTGTGTTAAACCATGGGTCCGCAGATTATGAAAGCAGAACAGCCGAACTGCTGTTTGTTTGTTTCAAAGTGTAAATTTCAGAACACAGTCTCAACATTTGTATTGTGACAGTGTTTTTTCTTTCTCTTTTTTATTGTGGTAAAAACACAATGTAAAGTTTACTGCCTTAACCATTCTTAAGTGTACAGTTCAGTAGTGCTGGGTACACTCATATTGTTGTGAAGCAAATCTTCAGACATCTTCATCTTGGAAATCTGAAATTCTGTAACCATTAAACAATCTCCTTTCTTCTTCCACTCCCTGGACCTAGTGACCACCATTCCACTTGCTCTTTCTATTAATTTGACTGCTTAAGATATCTCATGGAAATGGGCTCATATAGCATTTGCTTATGTATAGCTATCTTTATTCAGCATAAGTTCCTTGATATTCACCCATATTATTATATG